CCCGCCGAAGTGCCTGCGCTGCGACCGCCTCGTTAGGGACGGCTGATGTCACGGCGGTGCGGCCCCAGTGACGTCACCACGGGCATTTCCACCAGATCTTTCTTTCCCACAAACGGATTTATTCCGGCGGATGGCTATGCAGAGGTCACTGCCGCCCCGTCCCCTTTCCCGCGCGGCGCACGGCCTCGCTGGGCCAGGAGCGTGACTTCCGAAGCGTCTTCACTGGATTCTCCAACGTTTCTGCGCTGGGAGCTGCGGAGACACTGCGCTGAGAGCGACGGTTCCAGCAGCGGGCGTGTTCAGGGCCCGACGAGGCCGGGGCTGCGTCCCGACGACGCCCCAGCGCGCCGTTCCCTTGATCCTCTCCCAGAACGGCCTCTTTCGCCTCCATCGCTCGAGCTAGCATGTAACTGACCTTTCTCTGGTGAGCCAGAGCCTCCTCTTTGTCATTTACCTGTGTAGTTATTTAAAAGAGAAAGAAAGCCGTTGGTGAGCTAAGGAGGCAGAGCATGCCAATCGTCGGTGACATTTGCTCCCCTGCGGACCCAGCGACGAACGGTCTAACAACATGCTAACCAAATCGATCAGCATCTTCAGAACTTCGTGAGGGTTGTCTAGCTCTTCGACTTTCCTGCCATCCACGTCTGATGAGAGCAGGCCGGATAGCTTTTGTCCCAGGCTGTTCCTGTTCCCGGGTAACTTGACACGCCCTACGGAAAATAAAAGCCCGTGAACTCTGGAACTGCTCAGGAAGACAGAACGTACTTTGGGACAAAACAGGCCTGCGGAGAACTGGATTCTGCACGATCTCCTCTCAACAGGCAATGCAAGCTACAGCTTCTCCCATAACAGCAGATTGCTTGCATGCAGCACCACTCTTAGCATCAGTGAAAGGCTAAGGGGGCTTCCATCATATACATGGGCAAATGGAAAATAAAATACCTTTTGCTGTATGGAATATACACTCTGACACTCTAGTTAAACGATAATTCATGGTCATTTGTTTTTAAACGCTAGGTAGTCTGAAAAAAAAGATTCTTTGACATAACCTGTTTAAAAGTGTCTTAAGATTTCTAACAAGATTTAAGTACCTTGAAATTGTGAAACATGAAACTACGTCAGCATAGGGAACAGATATTCCAGATGTATGCTGTTTTAGTATTACATCCTGAGGGTGCTCAAGGACTCTGGAAGACCCACCAGACTTCTAAGCCTGGCACCTCCAGGTCAATGGCTAACATACGTATATCTTGAAGTGCCATTTCTAAATTCTGCTGTGTTTTGACCGTGACATAAGTACTTCTCTGTATCCTTTTTCTGAAAGAAGAATAAATAGAATTCTTACTCTTTTACAGAGGGTCTTGCAATTCACTTTGTAACATATTAAGTGTAAAGATAATAATAGTAATGTAGATGCACGTGCATAATAAAAAAATAAAAATGCTTTCCAAAACAGAAAAAAATCTGTTTAGTATTTCAGTGAAAGGTCAGGTTTTTTTTTTTTTTTAATTTTTTTTTTTTTCATTTCTCATCCTTCCCTAACTCTTATATAGAGCTCATTTGGAAAAAGCTTGGCACATTAAATTGTTGCTCACATCTAAAATAGCCAGGCTAAACTTGCCAGATTTTAGCTTTTTTGCACTGTTCTCACAATAAACCTCTTGGATATCCAGAATGTTATCGTCATCCTGTGTAACAGCTTATTTATTCTAGCATGTTTTTACTCAGATAATACAGTTCATGAATGTGTAATAAAAAAAGGTTACGTTAAAAGCCTAGACTGGTAGCTTCAATGTCCTACAGCAGTATTTATATATTCCACTTATACATAGACACCCTACATTACAGATGTGAAACTTCTGGTAGAAATTCAACTACATGACACATTATTTAACGTATTTAGAGTTTTGACATAACTTTGTTACTTTTTTCTTGACTTCTCATAAACCTCAGTCAGCAATGAAACCACAACCATATATTTAATACAAGAAAGTCTGCTTGTTCCACTTCTCAGCGAACTTCTTTTCTAGTCAACCATTACAGACACAGAGCATGCCCAATTACCATCGTCTTTCAGACGTCTCCAGTTCATAAACTTTGTTCCCTTCTTAATCTTTATCACTTCTGCAAGCCTCAGGGCTTGGTCCTTCCTCTGCATTAGCTGCTGCTCAAATGCAATTCTGAAGGCATCTGCCATTATATATGCTTCATCTTTACTCTTCTTCAGATTTTCAATCTGGTTTTAATTCAGAGAAAATTTAAAGTATATTAAGCAATTCGGAAGCAATAGCAGGTTTAAAAGGTGTATTAACAAACAGACTGAAGCCATGAACACAGACAACTTTTAAATAATCAATGAAGTAGTGGAAACCAAACAAAGGGCTTTCTTATCAGGTTAAGAAATAAATTTTGAAATGAGTATTGAAGCCTTTACCCTTCCTCTTCTACGCAATGCACACACCACCACCCATCTAGCCAGACAAGCTGCCAGTACAGCCTATTTATCTCCGCACATGCAAAAGAGCCTGAGGAGGGCATTAATGTCCCATGCCAGCTGGGCCAGGAGCAGAAGAAGCAAAAGAATGACATCTGTGTCACGAGGATGGTTACCGTAACTGCAGTCGAGTATAAATTAGAAGAAAAATTCTAAAACTATAGATTTTCACTAAATTAGCAAAGTTAAGAGCTTGAAAATCACATTATTGGTTGAAGTGTGATGTAAGTACATAGTTTTCAGCAAGATCAGCTTCCTGACCTAGCTGGGTGAGCAAGCTTGTGAGTGCTGGTGCCAGCGAGAGGGAAGGGTGGAATGCACTGCTAGGGAAGCAAGGAAAAGGGTCAGTGGTGGTCCACACTCACACTGGGTATACATTTATAAAGTGCTTAGGCTTACAGTGTTCTTTTTTCCTTTTTTTAGATTTAAAAACGTGTGGAAGGAAAAAGCAAGATAATTTTTTTTAACAGTAAAGCTGATCGATATCATAATTACAGTTTTATATCAGCGAAAGCCAGGGCATTACAAACAAACATTACATTATTTCTGAGAAGCATTCTTGTTTTAAGACACGTTAGTTTGTGTAAGCTGCAGTAGAGTGTTTTTGTGTTTTGAGCACAAGCAACCGTCTGCTTATTCATACCTAAGCCAAGCTGCATTACCTCTCGCTTGAGATGAAGAAGGTGCTTTCGAGTTACAGCTGCCATTTTAGCACAGGGACAAGGTTGCCCCCCAGAAGTATTGCAGGTGCAGGCTCCAAGAACTGCCAGCTTAAAATCCAGAACAAACCATCCGTTAAATATCTATCTGCATACACAATGCAATCCAAGATATGCCAGATGACTAGAAAAAAAACATCCTGAAACTACAAAGTGAGTGTACGGGTTACGGGGAACAAGCTACAAGAGATGTAGGCAAGATTTCTTTTGACTCACAACCACACACATGAAACGTATTTTTCTGCAAGATAACCTAAAGGCAAAAATTGTCAGCCTCTGTATGCCGCGCCCTGTAGACCTCATTAGAATTCTTTTTCCACTAAATGAAGTAAAGCAGTAGGCATAGGAGTTAAGAATTAGGATATGAGGAACTAAAAAATAAGCATGCTGGCTTATGAAAGACAGCCTGATGCTCCTGCTGTCTACGTCCAAGGGCATATTGTCATTACCTAAAAATGGGTCCAAAGAAACAGTTCAATAATCAGTAAGCAAAATTTATCTGTGTATTTTGAATATAATCATATCTTTGAGCCAGTGATTTTGAAAAACATGTAGTCATACTTACTTCAAGACCTGTAAAATCCATAATGCCACTTTTATTCAAGGACATGTTTTCCTGAACAACCTTCTGTTGTTTCACATCTAGCATTGCAAGAAATTCCAAACACTGCTGATTCAGGACTATGAAATAAAACAAGAAAAGTGATTACAAAGTCTGCTGCTCTGATTTCTTAGTTTCTGAGTTTAACTATATCCAAATGAAGCGGTTTTATAGTTCAAGCGTCAGGTTGGGAATATGATGAGACTGCGTAGACCTAGGAACTCAGATCCCAGTTGTCTGTCTTTCTGTGTTTTCCTAGAGATAATGACCCACTTGCAGAGATACCGTCACATGTATTACTCTGCCTCAGTACTAATGGCTTATCTCTTTGTACACTTACAGATACGGCAGCTGCATTTTTGAAATAGCACAGTATTGGGAAAATAATGATGTATGTCACCTATCTTGAAGCTTTTTGGAAACCAAAAATAAGGGAAAGGGGCTTGAGCCATCTGACCCAGCCATACACCTGCACAACCTGCAGTTTGAAAACCTCCACTAGAAAGCCAATATGCTGGATACCTCCACGTTTGTGCTACGGGAACCTTTATGTGGGCAGGTTGAAAGTGAGTGTCTCTGAAGCTGACTGCCATTGTGGCAATAGCATTCAGTGGCTCCCCTGGATGCTGTTGCCTCCTTCCAGGAGCACGGAGCCTCACCACTCAGGGTGTCACCATGCCAGTGAGAGAAGATGGGTGTACTTCTTTAACACCTCATCTACTCTTTCAGCTATCCATATTGGAATTTGCCTATCATTTCATGGGTTTTTTTCAGTTCAAATGACAATGTGAGAAGAAAAACAAACACAAATTGTCTGTTTAGAGAGGGTTTCTGCATATCCACTAATATTGGCTGGCAGTAACAAGAGACTTCTCCCGACAGAAAGCTTCCTTCCTGTCTAAATCCTGAATTATTTCTGATGATAACAGTATGTGAAGAGGAATAGCTGTTGGTGGCTTACTTGCATTTTCAGCTTTAAGAGTTTTAACTTCTTCAGTTCTCAGTTTCAATGCTTCCTTAAGAGCTGAATTTTCACAATATATCCTGCAGAAGGTAGAACAAGGCTCTATTATCTTTTAAAAAAATATTTTTAAATGGACAATCAAATGCAAAAAAGTTCAGCCTGGTAAAACACTGCATCTAATATTACTGCAAATTAAAATTAGGATTACTGAAAGAATTGAAGAAAAAAATCAAAACTGGAAAGACGTGAGCATTTGGTTTGACAAGATTTTATCCATGCAGCATTATACAAGCAGTTTCCTCACTTGTAAAATTTAATATGGAAAAAAATTGTAGAATTTTTCCGTAATATCTGTACCAATAATATGTACTATGTTGTTAGATCCAAATCTGTTAGGCAGGGGCCAATAAGCAACCTAAAACTACTTCTAACTCTCTGAAGAAAGTAGTGTGTGTAGGCTTGGTCTGACTGGCACAGAACCAAGGCTGAGAAAGCAGGCTATGCCAGGCTGGCTTCTGTGGAGTCCTTCCTGGTTATCCAGGCTGCAGGTGGCTCTGCAGGGAGCAAACCCAAGAATCTCTGTCCTCATACAAAGGTTTCTCTGCAATGCAGACAGTGTGCGCTTTTCAAACAGGCTTACCTTGTTTATGAAACCACAGCCTCACACAAACAATTTAAACACGTCCAAGTATGTTGAAGTGAGTGTTAAAAAAGAAAAAAAATATCATTCGCGTCTAAGTAGACTGTGTCAGCAACTTCAGAGTTTAACAAGAGGTCAGTTTAAGTACCATATTACCATTAGAAACTCAAAGAATTGTGACCCTCTGAAACACTTGCTAGAAAGATCTTACCTCCTTGAAAGGAAAAAAATTGTTATTGGACACGTGACAACATTACTCTGGTCTTAATTTTACAAGTAAACTTCCTGTAGTCTAAATACTGTTCTCAAGAATAGCTGTACTTTCAAGTGTTGCAACCTAAGAACATACAATATGCATCGATAATGCAGTTTTCCTTTAAATATTTAAACATTTCATTGTTGAATAGAAAAGTGGAAATCTAAAGTTCTAAACATTAAAGCAAAACAATTTGTCTGGTGCATCTCTTCAGCCGTCAGTAAATGCAGCACACTGTACAGCCACGATTTTGTTTAAATAGTAACCTGAATTATTTGACTGGAATAAACAATGGGAAATACACGTTCTTCTCATCCTGCTGTCTCAGGTATCAGAAAACCTTTTTGCAAGGCAGGCTGAGCTCCTGACTTGCAGTTTTCTGCAGCCACATCACTCGCTTTCAACAGTTAACACTAGTTTTGTTGCTCCAAACCACCTGGCTACACTGCCAGTCTCCTCAGTCAGCAAAGCCAAAGGGTTTTTCACGAGGTATCCGTTGACAAGTGTAACTAAGTTAACAGGTGAACAAGACACAATATCTTAACAAAATTCTTCTTACAAATGAATAGTTTGTAAACTTTCGGCTTATTTTTTTATGCTAAGTTTGAAAATTTTAAATTAAAACCACCACTGAAATAATTGTAACTCCAATGGGTAGACAGACTTCAGAGATATTTCTACATTTAAATAAGTGAGCCTGCTGGTCACATTTTTCAGTCTGTTACTGCATTATTAGTTTAGTGCCTCTGACATCTTCTGCTTGCCTAACCACACCTGCTGTCGTCCAGAGTAACTCTTATTTAAACAAAGAACCAGTTGATCAGCCTCTCCCAGAAGCATTCCATTTTACCTGTACATATGCTCATACCAACAATGCAAGAAAATAAAGCAATGATTAACCAGCAAATGGTATTTCCACATGCACGCACATATCATTATTTTCCGTGCCTCATTTACATTCAAAGTAAAGAAGGACAGTCTGGCTCCAGCTGGCTAACATAATAACGTAACAGGATAAAAATGAAAACTCGGCCTAGGAGAGCTAGCTTATATACACAATAAAGAATTGCGACTTAATAATTTTAGTAGTTTTAACTGAAAAATACAAATGTGACTAGCATGAAAATTAAATAAGTCTTCCCAAATCTGGAAGGGAACTAGCAAAACACTAAAAACCCATAACACCTGATGAAGCAAACTTGGAACACAAGAAAGATGACATACAGCATTCAGTGCAAAGTTATACACAGTGCAAGTCAAATACCTGTCATACTTTTCTGTCCACGTGTCTTCCATGTTCTTAAATCTATCCTGATCAAATTCAATTTCCCATTGCAAAATATTTATTTCCTGTGGAAACAAAGTAAACCTGCAGTAGTTCATTACAAGCCTTCCATCTGAAGGAAGGAGGAGAGCTGCTGGTGCAGAGTTTGGTACTGGCAGAGATCTAGGTGACCGATGATGGTGATAAGCTATGATATGGTTAAAAATACATTTGGTACCAGACACCAGTACGTTTCTGGAACACTGATCTGCGGATTCCAGACTGTGTTGCACAAACCAATGCTTGTCGTGGCTTATGACAACAACAAACCCACGCTGTCACATTTCCCTGTCCCCTTACTGTTTGTGAAGGCCACGCAGGAAGAGAAAAAAAGCATAAAACTCAGTTTAACAAGGTAGCTCAATGCCACCCTTCTCCTCATCTTCCCTATGACAATTGGGCACCCATTTTTTAGACTCGCTGGGAAGTTCCAGCTTAATAACTAAGAAATAGTGCAACTCATTACGAATGACTATGAATCTCACAACAAAGACCATCTGAAAGTAGAGAGCTCTAGTAACTTTCAGGTATTACTTGTACACACTATAGCATGACAATATTTAGATCGAAAAAGCGATACATTAATATTTTCCCTTTCTACTAAAAAACAGTAAGAATACTTTCAAAAACAACTGGAAATATTGGCAGATTTGCACTGATTTAAATAAACAGTCTGATAATCCCTTATTAATAGCAGTGGACTTCCATGTTTTTGCATAGGTGTGAAGGAAACATGCACCCTTACCTTTTCTAAAGTTCTCTTTTCTTCCTCAGTTTTCTGAAGCATTGCTTTCGTGTGACTAGTAGCTTTATTAAATACTGCCTGCAAAAAAAAGCCTAACTGTCAAAGGCTGTCATTAAGTTCACTTAATTTGGCTTTAGCCAAATTTTCAGTTTCACATCAAGACTAGTTCATATTCTTAGTTAAACAGGGGTGTGCAGAATTACAAAGACTAGCAACTTGCTTGTAAGTCCCAGTGGGTTCTAATTTCAAGTCACTAAATAGTGACGTTGCATAACAAACATGTGTTTCAATCGCATAATCTTTTCTATTGAAAAATGTAGTGTCATTTAAAATGAAAATCATGTCTTCTTTAGGGCTTGTCCACAAAATCAGCTCTTAAAAAAATTGCTTACAACATACTTACACTTTGATCCAGGTGTAACTAAGAACATCTGAGGGTAGAAGCTGCAAAACTATAAATGGATTATGCAAACAGGCTAAAAAACAGGAACTGATTTCAACATGATTCATTGTGATAGCGAATAAAAATATTACAAACTGTGAACAAAAGACTGACCTAGCATTTAATGGATACTGCCCTCTAAGACAACAGATGGAGTAGTCAACTGAAAATATCTGTGCTTTGCAGCAGAAGTTCAAGCACTGGCAAAATCTGTAATTTAAAGGACTGGAAAGAAGGCCTTATTCTGTAAGTTAAATAGCTAGATCTTCAAGGATCCTCAAAGACAAAATTATGAGAATTTGCTGCAACAGTAAAGTCTTCTTAAATAACTGCAGTGGTTCCATGTCGAAAAAGTAGTAAATCGTAGAAGCAGAGTCTGTAGACACTTGCAGACTCGATGCTTTAAATTGTAGCCCTGGGATGAACTTAAGGTCTGGGTGGTTTTGATGAGGAGTGGCAGGAAGATTTCCTCTGTTCTCTTTCCTTTACCACTAAGTACCTAAATGATTTCTGAACAACTCCTACCATGCTCTGCAGAATTCTGAGGGCTTCATCTTTTCCTTCAAGCTGTCTTTGTGATGCTTCAAGCTCAACTTTCAAAAGTTCAACTTCCTGAAGCAAAATAAAATAGGTACGCTGAGTAAAAGCCAAGGTAATCTGGCTAAAATGTGACTGTAACAGCAATGTAAATTTGCCTTCTTCAAAAAGCAAACATGATTCTTTTCTGACTAACAGCTGGCTTGTGATGAAGAAATGTTAACAGTGTATGTTAGCACAAAATCCTTAAAGAATACTTGTAATGATTATTCTTTCTGTTCTCTTCCAGTGTACTTGGAAAATAAGCCACTAAATACTGCAGTTCTTCCTTGCTAAAGAAGTTGTATAGACCAACGCAGGTCTGGAGCTTTAAAATAAGTAAGCAAAACAGAATAGCAGATATACATGCATGGAAATGCATGAAGCAGATACAAAATATAGTAAATATTACAAATATATACTAAAATATAAAAGCTACATTAATATATACTTGATAGTGCAGATATCATGTTAGGACTGTTAGATCAAAACCACTACTTGTCCAGAACAAAACAATAACCACAGCAAAACAGATCCCTGCTCTGGGTTCGTGCCAATCACATCTTTATGCAACATTTTCCCCTTCAGAAGAAAGCAGTTTTTCAGTTTCCAAATTGAAAAGAAAATATACTGCTTTGTATACTTATCTTTCCTTAACCCCCACGTAGGTCACTCAGTTGTTTTACCTGCAGTCATACAAACCTTTTTTCATAGTTCTTCCACTTCTGCTACTTCAGCAATTGCTACTGAAATTGTGCCGTGAGCAGCGGCAATTTATCAGTTTTGTCTAACTGAAAATGGGTAAGGTTCCTTGACATTTTAACTTGCTGTGCACTGAAGGTTCTTCATGCTAAGACAGTTTGAATATGACCTACCACGGGCTGTCCTGAGGTTAAACAACACAGTGCAGATGAAATGTATATTTTTACAGCTGAGATCACCCTGCTTTTTCTGCCTGGACTGATGCCAACACATCAACAAATTACAACCACAGTAAAACAACCTTTTAACAAAAACACAGTAAAAACCCAAAGACTGTTCTGGTTACACTGCAGATTTTTAGGCCCAAAGCTTAACAAAAAAAAGAAAACCTGATAGAAAAGGAGTACAATCCTTTTATTATTATCTACGTCTTTAAAAAACTTGGCCCCTCCCTCCCTCAAAATAAATTAAAAATCCAGAGCATAAACAGCATCTCACACTGTGATTTCCTGGCATAAAATGTAATGAGGCTTCCAACTACCGTGCTAATTTCAAGAACCTGAACCATCCAAGAGTCTGGACATGACAAGATCTTCAGCTAAACACTGTGCTTTACTTTGTTACATTAAAAGGAAATGCAGATTTCAAGCGCAGCACATTCAGCACCGTTACTAACCTCTAGAGCTTCCTGAAGCTGTTGCTTTAGTTCTTCATTTGACAGTTCAGTACTAGATTCTGTAGGATTGATAGCAGATACTAAACGATGAGATACTAAAATATTTACAAGAGAAAACATGAGAATTTGCTTTACCCTGCGAACAGGTAACATGCGGGGGTGAATTTTCATCTTTATTTTTTTCTTCGTGAGCTAATACATAGATTTAAGAGATACATAAATTATGAACTCAAACACATTTTTTCACAGTTAAAGAAGTGAAATGGAAAACAATATCAGTTGTAGAGAGACCTAAAATAAGTACAATTATTTTAGAATTTCCTTTAAAAAAGCCTCACAACAAACTTGCCATCTTGTTTTAAAAAATAATTTCATTTTTTAGATTCTTTTTAGATTGTAACTTTTCAACAGCCAAACTCAACACAACAGTAGCTAGCACTATTTAGAAGTAGGGGCAATTTTCACGAAGATCAAGTATGGTGGTGGAGTATCCAATATTCCTCTAAATAAGTGGTTACTACTGGTACTGTTTTCCTTAAACTAGGCATCGCAGGGATACATTGAGATGCAGCGTCCTGCTAAACCCAAGTCAAATTCATGTGGGCTTTAGTCGTGCTTTCATAGATATTGCTATGTGAAAGACCTAGATTTAAGACAAGCGTCATACAGAGACCATCAGAAGGACAGGGAAACCAATCGGAATTACGCTGCCCTGGTAACATCTCTATGACACTGCTGAAACCAAGAATAATTACATGGCTTAGCTTACTGCGGTGTGTAGAGAGGATAGGGGGGAGTTGTTCGGATGGAGAGAAATAAGCAAGTTATGTGGAAATATTTTAGTCAAAATACTAACAATGGCTAAAATTGTAAGGCAAAGCAGCTGAAGTGTAATGAACAGCACTGCCTTTATCTGATTTTATTCACAGCAGTGCTGTCTTCACAAAAAACCTGAAGGCCAGCGCTGGGAGGACAAAGATACGCAGGCTCCAAGCACAACTGCTTAACCTCAAAACTATGCCAATTCACAAATTTCAGCTAAATAGCAACAAGGTTTTGAAGATTTACCCATAAGCTTTAGATTCAGTCTCTGGGAAGAAACACTTAAAAAACCCAGGAACCCAAGCAATTCCATTCCATTTCGTCTACATATTTAGAGAAAAACAGCGCTGTCTCCCACCACAGGATGCTCATTGCTAAATCTCACTTTCAAATGAAAAAGTAAACACTTGTAAAAATGGTCATTTTACAGTAAGAACGGCCACAGCCTCATTCACTGAAAAGCGATCCTGCTGTTTCAGGAGCATGTAGGAACAGAGACTGCTCTGCTGCCTCCACGACGCCGAGCATCAACTTTTGCACCCCGGCAGCAGACTCTGAGGCTGCACCAACCTCCCAGCTAAGCTGGATCCCGGGAGCCACGCCACGTGCACTCGCTTGTTGGAATCCTTCTTCACAGGGCTTTGGAAAACAGTCTGAATTAAACCCGACGACACCTTGTGAAGCAGCTCAACTGATCGGTTTTGCTAACAGACATTTTTTAACTTCTAAATTGCTCTTACCACAGCTGTTCTGTCGTGTGGAACTAGTAGCAGGCTTTTTAGATGTTCCATCGTAAAAACTGCTGCGTTTTGAACTGGGAAGAGCTGCAGCATCACCGTCTTCCTTTCCAGATCCCCTCCTCGATCTCAGTAAACACGAGTTTTGTGAATTTTCGCCTGCATACACAGCTACAGGTCTTCTCCCAAGCCCATTTCCCAAGTCTCCACACGTCATGTCGTCCTCTTCTGCTTCCTCCATCTTCTCCTCCTGCGTTGTTCGGGGTTTTTTTTTTACCCGAGGGCACTTCACTTACCGGCAATGTGGACTGCCTTCCCCAAAGCAAACGGGCGTTTTAGCTAGAAAAACAGGCAAACCCGGTAATTACAGCAGCAAAACAACACTAAAGGGAAAGA